GAGTAGGGTAAATGAAGGTTTCCCACCCATATTTTTGTTGTCAGTCTGGGTAGTTGACCTGATCACAGGCTCACCTCCAACGGTGGTGTCTATTCAAAGTGCAAAACGGTTTATAAGAATTTTAGAGAATTTTTTTATTATTATTTCGATGCAAACCTTTTCAAATATCTCGTCTGCCTAAAGTGAAAACCATGCAGCTGCATTAGTTAAATCTTGCTGCTCTGTTTGGGAGCTAAAAATAAAAACGGTTCGGATAACGCTTTTTTTTTCTCCAGTCATTTATTCAGTAATTTCCAACATTTTATTTAAATGTTAAGGTTTATAAACCAGTTTTAACATTAAACAGAGTTGAAGGTGATGACTTTAAACTTCTCAATGAGAAGTATGAAAATGAACGTGTAAAAAGTAAACTGAACTACTTCCAGTTGGACTTTACTCCAGTAGAGTTCCATATTTATTGACATGCATTCCTGAAATGTCGGTCCACACTCAATGTAAACAAAACACTTTGATCTGCATGTTTTACTTAACCAATCCCAGCATAAATCAGTGGAAAAACATCAAACTAGTTAATGTTCTCCATCACAAACGTCTCATCACCATCGTTGGCCAATTGTCAGTTTGGCTGTCAAATACGTTATGTCGTAGTTGGGAGCTGTTAAAATGTGTTTACAAAGATTTAGAAAATGATAAAAGAAACGTGTCTGAATTTTGTTTCTTGCATTTTTGGACTGGTTTTCATGAGATTTCAATTATTACCTTTAAAAAAATAATAATTTTCAAATCTAATGGAAGGTCAAAGGATGCTTTACTCTGTCCACAAACAGCAACATTTTATAATGACTGAAATTTGGAGAATCCAGAAAAAAAAAAACTCAATTCACCAAGAAATAAATTAATCAGGTCCATTTTTAAAGCGATGCTGACACTTTCTGGACCCGGTCACCAGAACTCAGCAGAACAGTAGTTCAGTCAGATGGAGCTGAGGTTCTGTGTGGCCCTCCTGTTGCTGCAGGATCAGAACTTGGGACCATGTGACTCTTATCTTGGGTTCTTGGAACCACTGGGCCCAGTTTTAAGAAATAACTGAAACGACTCCTGTTCAAGTCCAAACCTGATTCTCACAGGGCTTTTCATGAAAAACGCCAATTCCAGGAAACATCCAGGGTCAGCTAATGTTTGCTTCTTTTCTTTTCTTCTTCTTGTCTGGACTGTGGCCTTTCAGTGAGCATCTTCACCTTTGATCTGACTCTGGTTTTTATAGAAGACAGCCTGAAAAACCAAACAATACAACATTAACAACGCTCTTAAAGGTAAGCTCTTTAATGATTCAGACTTTATTTGTTGGAAACTTTGCGTTAAGATCTAAAATGTGTTGTTTATTTAATTGAAATAATTGATTTGATATAATATATTTATGTGCCAGCAAAAGGGTTTGGATGTTTTCCATCATGCACTGAAAATCATGCTTTTATGTATGAATCAGGATGAACTTTTGAAGGGAAAATGACATTTAAACATTTCAGGATGTATAAATGGGTCGAGGTCTGTATAAATCTGAACCAGGGTGCAGGTAGAGAAAACATGAGGCTCAGAGCCAAACCCTAATTCATTAAAAACTTCCTGTAAAGCTTTTTATTATCAACCAGCACAGACAGGTTGATAATAGCCTATTTATAAAAGTGCCCTGATGGATGATTAAACTCTAACTGAGACCCTTCAGACAATAAATGTCTCAGACCCCATGGTTTTAAAAAACAAAGATGACCCATTAATTGGACAACAATGAAAGACATTTCTCCTCAAGGGAGGAGTTTATGGTCATCGTAGAAACAATGAGACCTTATTTTTAAAGTCATTAATAAAAAAAAATCAAACGACATCAGTTTTTAGAAACACCTACCGGATAAGTGGACATGAGATCCACAAAAGAGCTCCGTTTCCAATTAACGGCCGGGAGACGGACCCTGAGGGGCTCTGCGGACTCCGTCATGGACCTTCCCCGTGAGTGCTGGACCTGCCTTCATGTCTCTTTTACCTCTTGGTCTATTTTCATGCTTTACGCGTTAGGGGGGCTGCAGGACGGGTTGATGTTTAATCGCGCTGGCTGGAGGGGGACAAAAAAAGAAAAAAGAGAGGCGCGTGCTCGCTCTAATCACGTTATCAGTAGCTCCTCAGGGGAGGTAAATAAAAGCTTTTCCCAGCAGTCAGCAGTGATGCAAAGTCTGGTAGGTGAGGCAGGCTGCGGAGCCGCAGCACAACTGCGCACTTCTCGCGCCGCAGTTCGGACCCTCTGGACCTTTCACCGGCGCCTCGAACCCAACCTGCGGCGCTCCGGTTCACTTCTCCCACGATGTTTGTAAAAGATGCCGCACCTTTTCGCGAATGTTGCGGAAAACTTGTAAAGGTAAGAGAGCGGACACTTTGATGTTTGCCTGCAGGCTGGTGTGCCGCCACGTGCGCGCTACCTGCCTTGGTGAGGCTGGGCGCACGGGTTTCTGGATGGATGCACACTGCATTATAGACACTAATTTATGGATTTCTGCAGATTTTCATTCAAACTTCTCTGTAGGTTTTCCTCTAACTAATGTAAAACTGCATGCTCTTTAGACCCTGGGTTTTCTCCTGAAGGGATGATGCGTAATTTGTCCAGGAGCTTATCTAGAGGGGGTTAATGGGAGCATCAGTCCCCATAATGAAGCACATGTGACTATCTCATCTTATCTCTTGCTAAACTACTATACACGAGGGTTAAATGGTAGATTATTACAAACTAAAAGCCAAATATCTGAATTATTCAGAAATAGCTTTGCTCTGTTTCAAACAAGCACACTTGGTTACTTTGATTGTTAGTTTGTGTTATTCAGGAGTAAAATTAAATCTTCAACATGTGCATATTTAGTGGTGAAGGAAAAATGTGCAATACTCTGAAAAAGAGTAGAAATTTGCACACTTTAATTCAAGAGATTTTCAGTTCAAATCACCAAAAGATGAGTTGATAAACTGTTTAATGTTGTGCAGCTGCATGGATCTCTGGATGTCAATGTGTTTGGATGCATAAAAATGAACTTTGGATGATCATTAGCTTTTTCTTCTCAATACAAATAATAAGGTGGGGGGTGTTCTCGGTGTGTATACAGAGATCAAAGGTGAAATAATAATCATTTTAGAAACAATAATGTTGCATAAACACTGCTGATCAATCCCTGAAAAAAAGGTGTTTTATTTATTTTGTCTCTGAAAGCTGCCAGTTAGTTTAATTTTTTTGTTTGTGTAAAACTGGCCTGATCTTATCAGTTTTACCTTTATTTTAAATGAAGGAAATATAAAAGCATGTTTCTTCTTGCATAAACAGACTTTCTAATAGAATACCACAAACCAGGCTATAAGATTTCTTTGATGCTTCATAATTAAACTGCCTGACTTGCAAGTTTAGTTCCCCTTCATCTACAGAAGTTGTATTTATAACATGTAAAAGTCCCTGCAGCCTTCAGACATTCGGTATTGATGACCCCTGTGTTAATCAGCTGTGTTCACAAGGAGAAGAAAAAAAAATGCATTCCATGTCTTTTTCATAAGCGTGACCCAGCAGACTAGAAAATTGGGGCCACTCAATGTGAAAGCTGATTGTGCAGGTGTCAGCTCCGTCGTCACATACTTCTGTCAGCTGAAATGTGCAGGAGGTTATCAGCAACTGACTGCTCTAAAGGATTCCAGGCAGCAGAGAAAAGAAGGAAATTATGTCACGTCATTGTCATCTGATGTGTTCCGATTCAAAAAGCTCTCAAGATGCGTGTAGTAGTCATCTCCTTATCTGTGCCCCCCCGGCCCTGGGAAACACTCTGGTGCAAACTGTACGCTCATGTTTTAAAGGACTCAGTTAAACTAGCTCGTACCAGAGGTATCCATTAATGTGGGAAGCCGGCCCACCTTCCCAACGCATCCGTCACATACCTGCAGGGATGCTTGCCATTATCCGAAGTGCCGCCACTTGTGACCTACTTCTCCCAATCAAAAATAGAAATGTTACTTTTAGGCAGCTGCTATTGGCCGACTGAGCTGTTAGCGTGTAGCTTGGCTACGCTCCTGGGCTTTGAATTCCACCACTGTGGTGAGAAAGTCTCAACAAAGTGCTTGTGTGAATCCACTTTTTAGTTTGATGCATTCTCACGTAGGCAGCGGTGGAAAGGTCACAGATAGTCCTCGAGCTGACTCACAGTGTCAGAGCACGTGGGAAGGAGGCGGTTTGTCAGTCGGCGCAGATATTTTGCATCTAAAAATGACGATTTACTTAATACTACATGGTTTGGATCGATCATGAGTAAACTTAGGATCAGGGAGGGGTATACTCTAACTTTTGCTTTAGTGATAATGGCATGCAGAACTTTGATATCTTTGAAATACCAAACACAAATACAAAGATTTAAGGATTTGTTTAGAGGACAAGAACCTTTTTAATAACTTTGAGAGCCATTACAAGAATGTGCAAAATATGTATTAATATATTTTGCAGGGTACAGGATATGGTTTGTATTTTAATTGAATCTAATGTAATGATATGATACGGCTCATTGAAAAAGTTGTTTGGCTAGGGTTCACCAATATATTGGCTGGACAATTTATCTGCACCAGTTTCCTTATTTTTGGGAGATCAGCCAATACTCAGATATATCAATGAAAAAGATTGGCTTCTCATCTACCCCCACAAAGGTCTGAAAATCAGCCACTGTCCCCTTTTGCTCTGCTGTGAGCACTACATAATGTCCAGTTAAACAAGTTTGTATTGTTTCAAGGGTATTGTTCAATGTTTTTCAATGAAATAAGATTGGAACATGGAAGGTGTAAAATACCAACTAAGAATTTGGTATCAGCCAAAATCTGCATTACAGTTAGTGATCGGCCAGAAAACTGTAATCGGTGCACCAGTTTGGATCAATTTGTTGGTTAAAGAAACTAATAATCCTCGCATTTCAGTTAAGTTTCAAACTCTTTGACCTTTATTAGTGTCATCGGTAACTTTAAGCATTTTATCAGCCTTTCAGCCTTTTTAAAGGGAACAAACAGCCAAAGGGTAGTCAGGTATCATGCACCATACTGAACGTGAGCAGAGGAAGCAAAGGTGAGAACTGTCTGAAGAGATCAGAAAGAAGATAAAGAATAACTACACATTTATTTCAATGCCTGTAGAAACAAACCTGCTAACAAACAAATAGATCAGATCTGTGATTCTCTACGAACTGAGTTCACACAGACTGTGCTATTTTTTCTTATTAGTCCTAAGTGTTTGTTCAGTGTAACATTTTGACTCAAATGGTGTTAATAATAACTGCACAGTGAGTTATAAATGGTTGTAAAGTTGTCGATTGCCTCAGTGCTAAAGCTACATACATAAACCTTCATGGTTAACGTCCGTAAAACATTGTTTAAGTCACATGTGCTGTTCTATAAACAGAAGTCAATGAGTCACCTACATTCTCCTCCATGACACTGGCATTGCAAGAAGAGGGCATGAAGGTTAAGCTGATTAGATCTGTGACCCCGTTCTTATGGCTAACCAGCTACATGAACTAATTTTAAAAACAGTTTTTGGGGGGCAATAATTCCAGAGCCTGAGGTTTTTATTTGACCTGTATCTGCTGCTCTGAGATCATCTGAAGCTTTTATCGAGCTCTCTGCATCACACAGCCGCTCTGCTGTGAAAGAGTTCATTCAGCATGTGGTGGAGAGGAGCGGGGCCATGGGCCCTCATGACCCAGAGCAAAACCTCTCAGTCCAGTGATACTCCAGGCAGAATGTGCAAAGACTTCAGAGGATCCTAACAAGTATCTTCCATCTTTAAGATAAGGTTTGAAGTAAAGTCTGTGGACTAATGATCCTGTTTAAACCCAGATTCAAACAAGGTCCTTCCTGCTCTGCTCTGTCATGGTTATCTGCTCATAATCACGTGGTTGTTTAAAAGGAAACTGCTTTATCATGCTGAATCATCTCTTCATGCTGACTTTACATGTTACAAACTCTGAAATCCCCAGCTGGGAATGCAGTGTATACATTTATGAGAGGAACTCTGTCGGCTACTAAACTGCTTAGGCTACTGTTTCTGAAAGTTTGATCTTTGAGCTGCAAACACAGTCTGGAAGTATTGATGGACAGTATGGAAAGACCGCTGTCTGTAGAAACATCTGCAAATCAAACTGAAAACCAGTGAACAAGTATAAGCAAAGAAACCTTTGTTGTTCTTGTTAGTGGTCTTGTAAGTTTAAACAGCTGGACTTTTTACAGAAACTTTGTAAATCCTTCAGGTTTCTTTGCTGTGTCTTTACATCTCACAGCCTGGTCTGTTGGTCCCATCAATGCAGTGAAATTGTCCAGCAGCCTTGGCAGAAAATCGACTCCAAAACATAATGCTTCCACCTCTGTGCCTCACTGTGTAGATATTGTTCTTTGTGTCATACTCGAGATTTTCACACTCCAAACATTTTGGTTTGAGTTGATGCCATAGAGGTCAATCTTTGTGGGTCCTGCAAGGGTCATCAAGGGCAGACATTGGGCAAGACTTTAGGTGATGCTACTTGTGCAATTTTCTAAATCTCACTACAAAATTTCATACCAAATTAGAACATTTTGTCTTTATTTTTATCTTTAGAAGCCAGGTTGTCCAATTAAAACAGCATATTTGAAACAGAATACCAGAAGTCTACCTCATTCCTGCCAAACTCTGCTGACAACAATGAGGCACACCTCATTCTCAATCATGTTAACAAGCAGCTGTGGAGTGAAGCAGTTCTAGGTGGGTCTAGGAGTATCCTCTGCCCCATATAATACCTCATGTATTAACAAAGCAGCTGAGGAACCCACAGAACCTGAGGAACCAGTGATTATCCTACAGATTAAATCAGATATACTCTGATAAAAAGTAATTAAAAAATTGCGTACACATTTGAAGCACCCCTAGATGGACAGTGCCCTCAGCATTCTCCTATACTGCCTATGCCATGAGCATATCTGGGTTTAAGCCTGCATTGACGTTGACCAGTGCCATTCTTGGTGATTGTGGTTCCATTTGCCATCAGATCCTTAACAAGTTACTCCTGTGCAGTTCTGAGCTGATTTTTCACTTCATCATTCTCACCCAATGAGACAAGGTTTTTTGTGGAGTTTCAAACCAAGGGCAACTGATAAACATTTTATATTTCTTGTGTTTTTAAATAATTGCAGTCATCAAGCTAAGTACCAGTAAGAGGTGATTTAAGGTCATAAAACCCACTTAGTTGCCTTAACGCACAACTCTTTCCAACTAGGGATGCACCATAATGAAAATTTCAGCTGATATCGATATCCATTATAATTACTGGTGTTAAGGCCGATAACCGATATGTACCGATATTACACAAACACACAAATTATATTAAACATATACGCATAAACACACTTGGGTCTTTTTTTGATACTTTAAACAACCAGACCTCTGACATCCCTACTTCAGTTATTCCTGGCTGCGCAACGTCAATATCACTATCACGATCAAACAGATGCTGCTCAACCAACCATCTCCCAAAACACAAACACAAAGCTAAAAAGTGAGAAATAAATATCGGACGTTAATATCGGCCCCATTTTACATATCGAACCGATACCGATATTCTAAAAAATGACCTATATCGGCCGATACCGATATCAATACCGATATATCGTGCATCCCTATTTCAAACCTTAAGAGAGAGAGCAGAGAAAGTGTGAAATATCTTGAACATGTCTCTCTGTAATCATCAGTTATATCAGTAACACATGCAGTTGAAATGCAGCTGCTGATTTCTTGTTTTATTCATTTTCATTTAATTTCTGTTTGTGTGTCTGTGTGCAGGACTGTTTGCCTTGCTGTTGATAGTGTTGGAGTGGACGCGTCCAGGCCTGCTATCCCCACTGAGGCCGATCTGTGACCTGAGGGTCCTGAACCATTTCATCCAGGAAGCACGAGACGCAGAAACTGCTATGGTGAGAGGAAAACGAATGCAGTGGTTGCAAGAAGAAGCAGAATAAATGCATGAGAAAGATGCTGCAGTTATAATAACCCTGTGATAATTATTAATTGTTTAGATGCATTAAAATTAATTAACCCTGAATATTGTTCTTGTTTTATCTGTAGAAGTCGTGTAGAGAAGGATGCAGCCTGTCAGCATCTGTCTCTGTTCCCCAAACCACTGTCAACTTTGATGACTGGGAGAAGAAAACTGTAAGTCACTTGAATCCATTGATTAAACACTTAAAAGTGGATTTTATGGTGTGAAAGTCTGTAGATGTTTTCCTCATTATAGTACTTTAATTTGTCTGTACTGTAGTACCTTTTAAGAATTTCTAGATGTCACTGTCATTGCTTCATCTTTTTTTCTTTTGGACCAGTGACTCCAGTTAATTTCTAACGGAAGAGCTGATTACTTCCTACATCCTTTGATCCTTATCACTTCCAAAATGAGACTCCAACTCTCTGTCTCTGCTTATCTTTTGGAAAAGGCGCAGGAGCAAGCTCAGGAAGTTCAGACGGGCTTGTGGCTTTTACAACAGGCCCTCAGCTTACTACAGACGTCGATGACAAATGCAGAGCTGAACGTCCACATAGACAACACTGTCAGAAACCTGCTCAGCATCAACGCTGTGCTGCGAAGTCTCAATATTCAGGTGAGTCAGTGTGGCTGTCAGGTACAAATCCAGGCAGAAATGTTAGACAGCTGTCTGTGTTCATTTGTATTTTATATTGTTACTCAATAAGCTTCTCAAGGCATTTTAGAATTTGTTCCAACAATTATCAGCCATGCCCTCCAATAAGCACCTGCCTGTAGGAAACAATGTGCAATGTGGGTTTTCATTGCATATCAGCAAAATGTGCAAAAATTAATGTGATTTTTATACCTGGCGTCACATAATTCATTAGATTTCAGTCAGTTTCTACTGACTTATGAGCTACTTTGTCTCCTGATCTGAAGGTTGCATCCTTCTCCAAATCATCTGATTTCATCTTTAGTTTCCGGTTTACCTGAGTGCTGTAGGTGTTGAAGAATGTCACCCCATGTAACAGAGCCAGAGTTCTCATAATCAGGATGTACAGCGGGTAAAATAAGTATTGAGCACGTCACCATTTTTCTCAGTAAATATATTACTAGAGGTGCTAATGACATGAAATTTTCACCAGATGTTGGTAACAACCCAAGTGATCCATACATACAAAGAAATCAAATCATAAACCAAAACGAAACAAAACAAAGGAAAAAAAAACCAACAAAACCCCGAAAATGTCTGGTGAAGTGGGACAAGTCTTACTGTAGAAAACTTCATTCATTAACAGACAAAAAAAGATAATAAAATTAGTT